CCCCCCCCCCCCCCCCCCCCCAGCATTGCTACGGAATACCAACCGCCTGTTCCGCGGAGTATGCGCTCGCTCTGTCTGATCCATGCCCCTCCATCTGACACCAAAAAAGCATTCTAGATACTTGCTAACCAACTGCTTCGAACACGCGATGTTCCGACCTCAATTGAGAGCCTCCAGTAAAACGGCTCGCGCTGCCGCAACGCGGCCGGCACCTTTTCATAGGACACACAAGACGCCAACGAGCTAGAAAAAAGGCAAACAAAAAGAAGAATACAAGTATCAACAACAAACACCTGTTTTTGTACCAGGTACTACTGCTGTACGCCCCCGTCCCCCCCCTAAAAAAAACAGCGAAGTCTACCGGAAAGAGCACGACCGTACAGCAACAAAGTAAGCATACCTGCAGTAAATGAACACGCAACAAAACAACGCTTCCAAAGGCTCCAGGCAGTGAACATGACGGCCCTCCCTTGCATTTTCAGCCCGCCCCGGAAAAGATCGAGCGCCATGCGACACGCCTACTACTTCCCCGTGGTCGTGCTTGGGACTTGAAACATGCTGACGCCGCATACTCAAGAAAAACTCCCACCCCCCGTCTAGAATGACATACACTGGCCTCGGAGACAGCGGACACAAATGCAGCCGTGGTTGGGTGCGGGGTGTAGGGTGTAACAGGGCAACAAGGTTTGACTACAAGGTTCGGCAACAGGGCACCATGGTCTGACTACAAGGTCGGCAGCAGGGCACGATGGTTTGACTAGAAGGTCGCCAACAAGACACCATCGTCGGGATACAGGGCAGCAACACGACGGTTTGACTACAACGTCGGGGGGCGGGAAGTAACTCTAACGCCCACGAATCGACCCGGGGAGACCCCAAAAAACCGGCTAGCCGCACTCGGCAGCAGGGAAGAACGTGACGAGGCTCCGGCCACCGCCACCGCCACCGCCGCAGAGACGCCGCGGGAAAGGTGCCGCACCTCGGCATTGTTCCCTAATGCATGAGGAACTAACTCGAGCTAGCTTGTGAATCATACATGCTCCAATGATAGTAGGGTAGGCGACCGCACCGCACCGCTGCATCCGCGCCCGACACCAGGCTAAGGGTGCAAAGCTTGATGCGGGGGCGGGCGGGCGGGGGCGGGGTGCTCTGCGGTCGTAAAAAAGCCCGCGAGCTCCCACGACAAACAAGGGGCAGCTTTCATCGCAAGCACGCCAACGTGTTGTCACTTGAACATCTACATCTACATCTTGTATGCATATCTATCAATCAGCACTCCAGGACTTTCGGCGTCAGTCCCACCTATTGCTGCTCGCCGCTGCACACAACGCATCCCGAAAACATAGCCCTCTCGCGAACCCAAAGAGGCTACAGGTGGGTACGCAAACAGAGCCAGCAACGCCTCAAAGTTCTTCGTGCGAGAAAGCGGGAGTATATGCTCCCACATGCCCCAGCTAGCGTGCTCCACACGATTGATTCGTCCAGCCTCCAACCCATGATCTCGACC